TAATAGCAACCAGGCAGCAGCTTTGGAGGGCATCCTTTTCATCTAACTTTGGGTGACACTGTGTACCTAAGGTAGCTGAACAAATCAGCAGCCTTTACCTTCTGCAGAGCTGCCAGTGGCAATGTGGAGTGTCTAGTTCTAATTAAAATATTAATTCAGGCTGTTGGATTAGATAAGTTAAATAATATGGCTACTCCCTCAAAATATATGATTTGATTATATATATCTTTAAATATAAAACCCATTATTAATTATGTGTGTATAAGTGAGACAGCAAGCTTGGTTGAAAATTAATTGACTTTTTTAGAGTATTAAGGCATTTTGGCTCAACTGCAGTCATGAAGATACAAAACTCATATGGCAACTTTTTAAAAGAATTAAACACCAGCTAACAGAGGTCTCAGAATACAAGTGGGCACAGGGAAGTGTGGATGAGTGAGGGCGTTTTCAGTGGCTTCTCCCTGGACTGGCTTCTTGGCCATGTGTTATTGACTTCCTTGTGTTGTGATCTGTGTGCTTTTGGGGAGGTGAGAGGAGGGGGAGAAGGGATGGCGGGTCATGGTGAGTCTTTGATGTACTGCAGAGACGGAGTGTGTAGCCTCCTCCCCCACCTTGCCAGCCTGAAAGCAAGGTACTGGGTCAAGTTTCTCAGCCTTTTTGCCACCTCCCCTGTGATGGCACCGCTGTATCAGTATGTTTAATGAAACAATTATCCTCTTAGTCATTTCTTCCAGAGAGTCCTTTGAAAAGTGGAAATTTGTAATACAATAAAATACCACTGCTGTTTGCAGCTGTGAGCTATAGTAGAACAAGCTATCAGTTTTCTACTGCAAGTCTTTAGTCCTGCTGCCAACAACCACCTTATATATGGCTATAAATCTTCCAGGAGTGTAATAAAGGTGAACTGCATGTCACTGTAATGGGATATGTCTTACATGAAGACAGAAAGCATTAGGAATTCTGTGTGTAATAGCCAGTGCTTCCCAATATTCATGTCAAAACAGAGGATGTAGTACTGTGGGCTGCAGAAGTCATTCAGACGTATGACAGTTTTCTGTCCCTAAGTACTCTGATTTTATCATAGCAGTGCTGCTCTGGTTCGGGAGTTGGTGGTATTCATTTTATAAACCTTATTCTGAGGTGCTCGCAGCTCTTCTGCTCTACGTATCAGAAGTCCTTCTGGAGAAGGAAATTCCCTTAACTCAGTTGATACTGTTTTATTTATTCATTTTCCTTTTTTAACATTAGAAATACTTCAGCCAAAGTGTAAGTCTGACTGAAAATTCTACCTCTTTTGCAAGTACTGGAATCATAGCAATTTTATGAGGCATTTAGAGACCCAAAATGCAAATAGGTACCTAATGAGATTCACAAAAGAAGCTGTTTCCTATTGAAGTCAATTAGAAATGTAACTTGGTTGTTTCTCTAGCTTTAGGAACTTAAATACCTTTAAAAAAATTATTCTAATTCATTTGGACACTTTTGAGAATTTTACCCTAAAGCTTGATTTTTTTCATGTGAAAGTCAGTGTCTGGTACTGAACTGGATAGATGCATAAGTGTTACCTCATGGATTTTATTTCAGAAATGTTCAGCTGTTTCTAAATGATTTAAAACTAAACATAGTTAAAATACTACTAATGTACATGAGCTTTGTCTCTCTCCTTTATGAATTAAACATAGAGTTGTCACTATTTGTGAGCCTAAACAACCCACAATAATATTTATTGTTTTGTAAAGTTGTGAAAATATTTAATAAAAGTATTTGCTGGCTCTGATATTCATGGTTGGACAACAGCATCCCATTATTAAATGCCGATCCACCATTCCTGCATTCCAGCTATTGTAATTTTACAGTGTCTTTTGGTCAAATTAAGTACTGCGGTAAGCAAGTGCAATTCCTATGTAGAACTGCAGGTTGTTATTCTTGAGCAAAGTCTGGCATTTTGCCTAGCTGTGTCTCACCTCCCACTCAGCCTGCGTGGCACGAAGAGGCTGACTGGGGAGGAGAGCAGAGAAAGCGTAGAAAGCAGAAGAGGAGCAACTTGATAAGAGTCTTCAGCGTAGTTTTTGTTGCTGCTCGTCAGCTTGCTCTTATGAAGAGATGTTACGTATTAAGAACTTGCTCCTGTCACCTAGCTTTTTAACTCGAAACGTATTCTGTGTGTGCACATACACGCGAGTACATAACTTGGCCTAGTGCTCACAGAGGTAAAAACATAGAAAGCCTGATACTTTGGTGGTGTTTTTTCTTGGAATTGCACAACGTTCTTATAATTTGTGTTTATATCAGTGTAATGATCCCAAGATCTATCTAATATGACTGTAGTCCATACAAAAATAAGCCACATGCATACAAAATTATGTCCATAACCACAAAGACATGGCCTCCTTACTAACCCACATTCTGCAGTTCCTTTCCCGTAGAAACAAGAGTCTAATGCTCTCCCACTCTCTCCTTGAAGAAGTTAGGATTCTCGCTTGCCCTGCTTTCCACCTTTTCTATATCTAGGTGAATGCAAGGAAAAGAGAATAAAGGCAGAATGATGTCAGGACTGAAATTCAGGGCATGGGTCTGAGTGGTAACCCTACAGCTAGCTTAACTTCAACAGAGGCTGCTGCCTGGGTGGAGGGGTTCAGGTTCCTTCAGTCGGGTGTCCTACA